ACCAGGAGCAAGAGAAGCAGAGAGAGATAGTGGAAGAGAAAGAGAGACCAGGAGAGAGAGAGAGAGAGAAAGGGAGATCAGAAGCGAAAGTGAGAGAGAGAGAAAGAGAGATTAGAAGCGAGAGTGAGAGAGAGAGAGAGAGAGAGATCAGAAGCGAGAGTGAGAGAGGAAGAAGAGAAAGAGAGATCAGAAGAAAAAGAGAGAAAGAGATACCAGAAGAGCCAGAGAGAGAGAGAGAGAGAGGCAGAGACCGGGAGAGAGAGCGAGAAAGAGAGGGACACAGAGCCCGAGAAAGAGCGACCAGGAGAGAGAGAGGGAGAGAGCGGGCCGAGGGATGGAAGCTAGGGACGCCGTAACCGGGTCACGATGCCCTCAGAAATTAAACGTAACGACTGCTCTGAAACCGTAAGATGCGAATGATCATACGCTCGAATTAATTCGCGAAGAATCGCCATTCTCGTTAACGCTACCTGTGCTTCCGTGTTTAACGCGGCCCCCTTCGAGAGAATTGCTGCGGAACCTCCGCTATCGGAACGTTACTTCTGTATGTACTAGAATCTACATGGTTCTCGCGCGATACGCGCGCCGACCTCGCGCGTAACTCGGATATCTTAAACATTAACCCGTTCATTAGCACAATATGAATTTCCAAGAATATTTCAATGCAACAAGAATTTTCAACGGTGGGCATTATTTGAGAATTACGCTCCCCCCCCCCCCCCAGTGCCTATGAAAGGGTTAAGGTAGCTATTTGTATTTCTATAAGAATGTTTAGACGTCGATTGTCTTCTAAAGGCTGCGTAATCGCAGATTATGACAAGATATCATGTCGACTGCGAATAACCTCTGTTCACTGAATGTGCAAAAAAGAATTAGATGTGTCTCCGTAAAAAACTAAGTAAACATTAACTAATTATTCTTACTACGCTCGTTTGAATCTTCGATCGTTCACGAGTTACAATAAATTCACCCTAATTTATCTATCTAAACTTGTAAACAAAAATGGACAATTTGGGAAGAGGAGATACGATTATTCGAGCCTTGCACCTCCGTTTTTATGATTCTTGACGATAGGCAACTATAAAAACGCGCCGACATTTGGAATCCATTCTTGTTTATAAGCCGAAGGAAAATCGGGGAGAATTTACTGCATTTGCTTGGGCAATTGTAAACCGCCACCCTGCGTATACAACGAAAAATACACACACAGAAGATTATTATTATATTACTTCTTTCTGAAATTGTTCTACATTGGACTAAAAATTTCTCGAATTTCTGCACCTATACTGGGTGTACCAAAAATGTCTCGCAATCCGGAAATGGCGGGTTCCTCGGATCATTTGAAGCAACTTTTTCCTTAGCGAAAATGCAATCCGCGGCTTCGTTTACGAGTTATTAACGAAAAACAGTGACCAATAAGAGATGAGATCATTTGGTGCGAGACGGCCGAGCCAATGAGCGGAACTGGGCTCCGTGCGCTGGCTGGCTGGGCCGCCGCGCGCCAGCCGATCTAGCCTCTCATTGGTCACTGTTTTTCGTTAATAACTCGTTAACGGTGCCTCGGAGAACATTTTTGTAAAGGAAAAAGTTGCTTCGTATGACCCGAGGAACCCGCCACTTTCGGATTTCGAGACATTTTTGGAACACCCTGTAGGGCGCGAGAAGAATCTTTGTCGCGGGACCGAAAGCGAGACGACGCGAAAGGAGCGAAGACGAATTCTTTCGGCTCCGAATTAGCCGGCGCTTGGTGCACCGGGTATCAGCTTCGAAAGATCGGAGAAAAATTGAACACGGTCCCAGCTCCAAGGACAATTTCTGAACGAGCTGCAGCAGATGCGTGAACACGGTGTTTCCGAGCGCTGGCTTAAAATATCCTGTTGAAGTGTCCGTCCCCGACTGTCGTCGCTGAAAATGTTTTCCGGTGCGGGGGAGGTGGAAGAGGAGGAAGAGGAGGGTTCGTGGGCAGGGTTCGGCGCTTCGGGAGCCCGGATGCTGGCTGCTCGCACATCATAATAATCGAGACGAGGCGAAACGCCGCTTTTGTTGTGTTTTATGACGGGGAAAATATTGTTCCGGGCCCGGGGCAGATACTTCCTCTCGTTCCGCGGAGAATATTTTCGGTGCGGTCGGGCGAAAGCGTTCCCCGCGATCCGACGAAACCGCCGCGGAACGATAGATCGTCCAATAGAAAACGAGTTCGCATTGCTCCGCAGTTTTCTCCGTTCCCTCCGCCCCTTCCTACCTTTCAAACAGTTCGCGAGCATTCGAGTAATGCAGTGTACGTGCACGGTGTCTTTGGCGGGCACCGTTCCCGTGAAAGAGATGCTTTCAACGGCAAAGGCGAACAGCCGGAAATTCCTGACCGCGGCGCGCTCTCGGGAAACGCCGCATCGAGCACACCGATAATATTTACATAAACGAGCTGTTAACTTTTCCGGAAATTGATAAATACGGCGGTCGGCGGGGGGGGGGGGCGCCGGTGCTTCCACGGTTCTAACGTGAGTTTTTTCTTCTCTTTTCTTTTTTATTACGCTATAAAACTCTCGCTGCCGGGTTATTAGCAGCGTGCGCGTCGCTCGCAGGTTTTCAACGGGACATTTTAGGAAGAGCATTTTTAATGAGTTAAGAGACGACGTCGCAGAGGCGCGGTCTACGAACGGATCGGAGAAGCTGCGGAAATCGAAGGACTTTTTATGGTAATGGTATCTGAGGTCGCGAGGAACAATGGAAGATCAACTTGACTTCTTTATGGTGTCTTTTAATTACAACTGCGAAAATATTAAGTTCACCGATATTTATTTCACAAACAATTTCCAAATTTTTCTAATGTCGATATAATAAGCGCATTAGTAAAGATTATATCATTTAAGTAATTACGTGTTTCATTAAATGCACTTCAACGAATCGCATACTAATAGCAAAAAATTTACGTGTTACGCGAGACGGGTGTCCCGAAAATGTCTCGTAATCAGGAAATGGGAGGTTCCTGAGGTCATTTGAAGCAACTTTTTCCTTTGCGAAAATTTTCTCCGAGGCTTCGTTTACGAGTTATTAACGAAAAACACTGACCAATAAGAGGCGAGATCGGCTGGCGCGCGGCGGCCCAGCCAGCAAGCGCACGGAGCCCAGTGCTCGGCCGTCTCGCGCCAAATGATCTCAACTCTGATTGGTCACGGTTTTTCGTTAATAACTCGTAAACGAAGCCGCGGATTGCATTTTTGCTAAGGAAAAAGTTGCTTCAAATGACCTCAGGAATCCCCTACTTTCGGATTGCGAGACATTTTACACCCTGTATATTGTACACTTCGTAGATTATTTTCCAAGTTTTCGTAACCAGTCTGTCATGATATTACAGAGCAAGAAATCAAAATATTAGTATACTTTCTTTTCTTTTAACCCTTTGCACTCGCGGAGGCACCGCTAAGATAATTATCACGATCTAAGATCATTATTACATTAACAAAGTTAGATTTTAAAAAATTGTTAAAAGCGTAAAGCCGTTGTGTAAGTCGCAAGACTCAAATTCGCATGAATAAAATGCTCTTTGTCATATAAAATGAAGATACTATAAATCAGAAAAATTATTCTAGATTTACAGTTAAAATAGCTTCGAATGCAAACGGTTAAAATCGTTCGCTTAAAAATAATGCCCTTAAAACGCGCCGATTGCCACCCTATTATTTACCATTACCCTGCATTTCCGTATAATAATTGCAACGATCGCGTATGCATTAGCAATCTAACACATTATTATTATTACTATTATTCTATTTTCCGCGTTCACAATGTACGCATAATTTAACGCGACGCGTATGAACGTTCGCGTGCCAATCCATTTGCAACGGGAACAGTCTTTCAATGATTGATTTTGATTACAAAGTTTTGACGAACGCGTTCGATAGCCCGGCCACTTGTAGCTAGAACAACGGTCGCTAAATATGTATAATATCGCATATGGTCGATGAATAAATATGCGACGGAATATAGCGATACATATTTTGATACTTCGTAGCTGCGGCCGGGTCGGCGATCGTTTCGGAAAAACCGGCGCCGGCAGATCGATACGCTGATGAAAACAGGGCTCGGTGGCTCGGCGTTCGAGATAAAACCGATTCGCAGGCATCGAGCCCGGTATTTAAAAGTGTCAAGCATTCGATGACTCCGCGTCAAATTAGTTCCGAATGGCGTCCATTAGCCGTTTCCGGTTGCGAAACAATGGAGGAATTGGCCGAACCGATCGATATATCGGGTGTCGGCCGAAAGGAGGAAGTCGTTCGAATTAACAATTACACGCAGGCCGGGGGAAAAAAGGGCGCGCGGGATTAACCCTTTGCACTCGAGCGGCGACCCTAAGGCGCCGTTGGGAGATTTTATTATCGCGTTTCAAAGTGATTTTAACCGTTTGGCTGCTGACTTATTTCTTCGGACATATGGGAAAAAATGTACAATAAACTCACTTGTATTTATTTTTGCAACAACAAAAATTAAAAGATACCACTTATTTACATAAATTTGTTTTAATTAATTTTCTGAATAAAATTGGTAATGAGCGCAAATTCTAGTGATTTAGAGCAACGTTGTTACGCTCTCCGCAGTCTTGGCATAAAAAAGAAACAGGAGTGCTATCGCGCTCTTCGCATTTTTCGCGCAACATAAGAAGAGAGGTAGTTGTTGACAATCGTTTTTAGAGATAGTTGTTGACAATCGATAACCGTGAAAAACGAGCAACAGGAGGCTCGAATAATCGTATCTTCTCTTCCCAAATTGTCCATTTTTCTGCACAATCTGAGCGTCAGTAAGGGAGACATTACTGTATTTCTTGCGAAGCGACGATCGCGGTAAAAATCTACACGGTGTCCGATTAATTCTATCGACATCCCTAGGCTCCTCGGAAAATACAATGCTTTCTAATGCAAATATATCCTCGACTTCCGATTGCTCGAGAAAAAAAAGCAAAAAAAAATGGAAAACGAGAAATATACGTATCGTCTTTGTTCCAGGTGTCTGCACGGACTCGGGAGGATTCTCGCGCGTACTTGGGCCGACGTGTTACGAGGTAAGTAACACCCTGCCGAAAATTCGGGCCGGATCTCCGCCGGCTTTTGTTGTAGCCGTGTAGAACGCGGAAACTACCGTGAAGTATCGTTTCAACGATAGTATCCGATGGAATATCGATTTCGGGGCAGGAACAATTAACCCGACAAAATTACCTGTAACAGGATCGTAATAGATCGATTATTGCGTTTCCTTGCACGATCTTAGGGATATTGTGGCGGTGATTCGGGGGAGAGGGGGGGCGGAAACTTGTTGCGGGACAATTTTCATGGAATCCGAGAGAGGCGAACGAACTATTTCAAACCCTCGACTAGCTGCGCTGTCAAAATTGCGCGGTTGCTAGCTTTCGCCTCTAATAAGCTAATAAATGGGCGCACTGACTCTAGCATGTTGGTTATTTATAACTGAATTCTTTCGAGTCTCTGATCGAACCGTGACGTACGAAGGAACGAAGAAGCATGCGACTGTGGGTTACAAATATAAATGGCGAAGTTTCTCGACGCCCTATATTAGGGGAAGCAGTTTAGACAACGACCTGCAGGAACCGATCGAGAAAGTATACTAACCGAAAGACTGTGGTCGTAAATGTCGCACAAATGTACTGGAATGAAATAGAAAATATGTAGAAACTTTGAGTGATCGGAGAAAAGTCAGTTTTAAAAAATATTCTCATAACGCGTAATTTATTCAGTAGCAGCCAATTGAACACGTGGCTTAGTATACAAATATAAATAGCAAGCTTCCTCGACGCTCTGTATGAGGGGAAGCAATTTAGACAACCGATGCAAAACCGAAAAACTGCAGGAACCGATCACGATCAAGAAAATATACTAACCGTAAGAACTGAGATCAAATCAAATAGAAAATATGTAAAAGCTATGAGATCGTCATACAGGGGTCGGTTTCCTTAGAAAGAGCAGAGAGAAATCAGCTTTAAAAAATATTCTCATAATGTGTAATTTATTCGGTAGCAGTCGATTGAACACGTGGCTTATTATTTACTATGATCTTCTTTAGTATTTAATCATTTTTGGGCCACATGGCTTCAAAGTAGCCCGTCTGAAAATTATCCTAATTTTATATCATCGTTTATAATTATTTTGTACCTTGAAAATGAATAATTTTTACAGGATTTAATGTACTTCGTATGTGCTTTAATTATGTCACGGGATACTTTTTTATCACTGACATTTTTTGAGTCGTGTCCAATTGAATATGTTGAATTTTCATTCCATATTTCGGTGTTCGCTTTGATCGCATTTCAAAAAACGATGCCTTATATTAATGACAAAATAAAGATTGGCTGCTATTAGCTGCTACTGCAGAAATCGTCTAATAATGATGCCAAAATTTGAATAGGTTGAGCAAAATATCAACATTTCAGCCGTTCGCATTCTATTGAAACTAATGAGAATAATCATAAATGTTTTCACAAATAATAAATAGTAAAAACGATAAACGTTTTCAAAATGTTTTACAAAATTTTCGTTTGGATTACACTTTTTTTGCTCGCATCCGACCAATTCACGTCGAGTACGAGAAAAAGAACGATCAATAAATCAAATTCAATTAAATCGAAATGAAAAAATATTGCATCTTTAAAAAATTTGTTTACGAACAAATTGAAAACGCTGCATTCTGTTTTCATTATTCTACTCCAACAGAAACCCAAATATTTATATACTAGCAATATAAAATGAAAAAGTGAGGCTCGAATATATAATCTTATTTTTTATACATATGTTCTTTTCCGCTTTTTCTACGAAAACCGACCACTCGTGCACAAGCCCGATCATTCATAATTAACCACGACGAAACCGAGCCTCCGAATGTTCGATTGCACAACAATGGAAACAGTCTACCACGGTCACAATTCCCGTATAACAGTTCACGCTATCTTATCGTATCCCAATATTAATGTTTCGAGTCGATAGGCGCTTATTGGTCAGCCGCGATACCGATATTTATCGACACATATTGATAAGCTTATCGGGGCGAACAGCTCCATCGAGCGAGCGCGGGTGTTTGAGCAACGACGACACGATTTATCGATATAAGATACAACATCAGGCGCAGGCTCCTTCGGGGCGATGCTTTCGTTTTCCAGCATCGCGGAATAAATATATTCCATTCGTGCACTCGACGGGACTCACTGTCAATTCGGTAGCCTCTCGAACAATATTTATTTAGCCGGTATCGATTTCGTTGGCATGATATTGGTTTCCCGTGCCGTCGCCTCTATTTTCCCGAGCTCCGTCTCGCTCCTCCGCCAGCTCGATCGTCCGCTAAACCTACTATCGCGCGCTCCCAAAACATTCCCATTGCTGTTTCTTGCAGGCCACCGCGGTACATCGTTCCCAGATTCGACGCTGGCTAATTCATAAACATTCACGAGCCTTTTTGCACCGATCCGAGTATCCTTAAACGGTTTGTCGCGCGCAGAATACGGTGATGTCTCCCTAACTGACGCTCGGATTGTCCGCAAAAATGGACAATTTAATAATATATAATAAAAATTAATATATATATAAAATAATATATAAAATATATATAATAAATAATATATATATAAAAATCCTGGAACAGTTATTTAAGTTTCTGCTTTAGCGTGCAACTGAGGATTAAGTCTTTTTAGGCGAAGAGTTCAGGAACCATTTCGCTTCGGAGATAATTCTAAATAATCTTATAATCATATCTCTTCTTCAAGAATCGTTGTTTTTATAAGAAATCGAGATAAACGATGGAAGAAAGTGCAACCGGAGCTTATTGCAACAATAAACAGGTACAGTAATGTCTCTCTAATTGACGCTCAGACTGTCTACAAAACTAGACAATTTGGGAAGAGGAGATACGATTATTCGTGCCCTGCAGCTCGTTTTTATAATTGTTGACAGTTCCAAGACTATAGAAACGAGCCGCAAGGCTCGAACAATCGTATCTCCTCTTCCCAAATTGTCCATTTTTGTAGACAGTCTGAGCGTCAATTAGAGAGACATTACTGTTGGCCAATTTTTATCTAAAATTTCCTATGCTATCATTTTTAAAAATTGAAGCCAAATTTTGAGTTAAGTTAAAAGTTAGGTTAAAAGTTAAAGCCTTTTTTAAGTTAAAAGCCAAAAAATACCTGTTACATCGGAACCGATTGAAAATTTTCGCTTTCATCGAAACCCTGAAACAGACTTCCAGTAAATATAAAATCAATAATTCTACGAGAAAAGAAGAATTTATTAGAAACAGCACAATTACCAACGCGACATTAAGCGAGACTAAATTATTTCTAACTCGACAAGAACGAGTGCAATACGTGGCAGCGTTTAGTTCGTAAAAACTCGATTATGATCGTCCGTAAATATTGTCCACTCTGTCGTCTCAATTTGGATGGTGTTCCCGACTCCGGATCGTCCTCCGTTATTGCCGTCAACACGCGGATAACAACCCGTATCCCAGTTGGCACACGGTGGCTTTAATTAACGGCATTAACGCATATCCAGGCTCGAGCGGCGCCGTACTTTCAGTCGTATTACAAGCACCACGGTCGTAACGTTAAATCAAGTTTTTGCCGGCGATAGCGCGGTCGAAGCGCGGAAACACGTCGCGGTTCTCCGGTTTTATTTCCGCGGGGACCGCGGACGGAGTTCCTATACGCGATCTCGAATTCCCGCGCGTTAACCTTGAACCGTCCGTCGACAAGGTGTCCTAATCAACCGTGTTTTATGATGCCCCCCACCCCCACCCCGCATAATGGATTCGTAGAAATGCTCGCGGTGCCAGCGGATTCTGCGGTCGTCCGCATCGTGGCGACGAAATCCGTCGTTGAGACAACATCACGAAGGCCGAGTTCGAATTCTGCAAATGATACGATATATATGCTTTTAGTAGGGTAAGTGATGATTTAGGTTGATCAGGTTTCGCGATGAAGGCGAAGTTTCATTAGAGAAAATAAGGCCTTTTACGCCAATGGATTGAGAACGCGAGCTACGCCTGTTATTCTTTAACTCGAATGTTTACTTTTCTTAAAATATTGCATCTTTGAAAGCACGAACTTCGTTAAAAAGGAACCGTACGTGTGCATATATTACCGCGATTATGTACCTATTACTGCGAGCCAAATACTGCGGACGTTCCGATTACAGTAATGTCTCTTATATATTTATATTGTATATAAAATGTTAGATTTTATTACCTTCAGAAAATACTGCAGCATTCGGTGCGACCGCAGTAATACCCACACTTACCCTAATAGAGAATCGATTGCGAAAGCTGAGCTTCGTCTGTTCCGGGGTTGTTTGTCGACGAAGAAAACGGGCGAGCGAAACAACGAATCGGTAGAGAATCTGCAACACCTTCTCTTGTAAAGTAGGTAGCATTTGTATCCTTGAAATTGTCTATTTTCGTTATAAACTGCTCGAAGTGGAACATTTCCCGGCGAAGAAAAGTTTTTAATAACTCCGGCGAAACTTGGCGCAGCGAACTTTTTAATTGGCTCTCGTATGAAATTATGATAAGCGTCGCCATTCATTCGGTCTTCAACGAACGCGACGGCAGCTTTCTCGTTGAAGCCGATGCTCGTTCACGTCATTCTAACCTAATTACCCATCAGAAGCCGTGCATATCTCGTGCGTCTCATTTTATACATACTGCGGCGACGCTGATAAGCGATCGATTTCAAATTGTAATAAACGTTCGCGACAAATTTCATTTATTTATTATCGATACTGCAACAATTTACTGTGTATCCTGCTCTCCGTTTTCATGTCGTATCGTAAGTCGAAAGAACGGCTTTCAGACCTTGTAAGTTACACGAGTATCGATCTTTTGACGCTGTAAAACCAGAGAGCGAAGGATTCCTTTGACCTAGAATAAGCTGTGGTACAGGTGACGGTATAATTTTCAGGAAACTGCGACCGAATATTTCGCTGCACTCGGAGCAGCTCTTCTGCTTTTTTCTCCGATTCTGCTTTTTTTGCATTTTATCCTTTACTTGTCTGCGCCTATTATTTA